CGTCAAAGAATTTATCAAGCGGAATTTTGTACAGCAACGGGAAGACAGTGTTATTTTAAATGAAATGCAAATTTCTTGATTTAATATGAAAATTATTGGCCCATCTTACACAAACCGCCACATTTTTCTCTATTTCAAGAGGCATTTTACAAGAAATCGACCATATGTATGTACTAGCTATCTACCTTTAACTAGCTCTAGAACTTTTCGTCAATTTCATTAGTTTCCCAGTCGAGAAAAATTGCTGCTGTGTAATCTAATATTTCCTGAGGTCGGCCAGATTTATGGAGCTAATTGGTGAGATCCTTCCATCATCTGACACTATTTTGAGACCGTAATACCAAATTGACAATTGTTGACAAATTCATTCTGTCAAAGTGAACTTTATGAGAAATTGATATAAGGAGTGTTCATATGCAATATGCCCAAAAAGAAGAAAAATGAATGCGAAAACGAAACTCTAGAACCAGATATTCAAATTAGCGTAAGTGAAAAGAGTACCAAAGAAACTATTGTCAAAGAGAATTATTATCTTAAACAGCTTTTGGAAGAAAAGGAAAGATTTATATATCAGTTGGTAAATGAAAACCGTAGACTACAGGAAGCATATGACTTGATTTCTGCCAACATAGTAGAGAAGGAATCCGTTGTATCTACTTTGGCTATTGTAACTAATCAACTAGAACAACTTGAGAAAAGAACGTCAGAGAATACATCATACTCACAAATTTTAAAGCAAAATACTCCTAAAATCAATAGCAACAACAAGAACAAGAATGACATGAAATCCATATTAGTTACTCCCGAAAGGACCCAACATTATAATGACACCAGAAAAGACCTAACTAGTAACATTAATCTAGCAAGTATTGAAGTCAAGATAGAGAAAGTAAATAATTATAAAAACGGCGGCGTCGAAATTCAAGTTGAGCAATGTTATTACCAGAAACTCAAAAATGAACTAGAAACTAAGTTGAAGGGAAAATACAATATATCAGGAGCAAGAGAAATGAGACCGAAAATTAAGATCATAGGCTACAAAACTGAAAAAAAACCTTCAGAAGCAGAAATTAAAGAACAAATCATATCCCAAAATACATTCATTAATGAAAACGAAATCGAAATCACTTTTGTACGACACATACCATTCCGAAATTCTTATACTATATTCGCTGAAGTTTCTGGAGAGCTATATAGAGACATATTTATCAACAAGAAATCAAGAATACTACTAGGTTGGCAAAACTTATTTGTCTATGATAATAACCAGATATCGCAGTGTAGAAAATGCTTGAAGTTTGGTCACACAGACAAAAAATGTAGGGGCGCGGAAATGTGCATTAAATGTGGACAAGCACATAGAAGTGAAATTTGTACTGTAAACATTTTAAAATGTTCTAACTGTATGAACTATAACGTTAAGCATAATAAGAATAATGATGTTGGTCACTCGCCCACAGACAAAAAATGCCCGTCGTATTTATATTTTCAAAAACAGTATTCATCCAGAATAATGTTTTGAGCGTTTAGTTCTTTTTACGTCTTTCGAGCTACATATCATTTGCAAAATTTTACATGGATAGTTACGTAAATAATTTTCAGGTTAATGATATCAATACAAATATTGCTCAAGACGCAAATGCTCTTAATAAATGGTTAGAATATTCTAATTTCAATGTTAGCTTATATCACATGAATATACGAAGCCTAAACCAAAATTTTGACTGTTTTAATATCTTCCTAACTACAATTAATCACAAATTTGATATAATAATATTAACAGAAACTTGGAAAATTAATGATGTATCTTTGTTCTGTTTAGAAGGTTATGATACGCTTTACAATAATGGTACGTACAACCAGAATGATGGGGTGGTAGTATATGTAAGAAATGATATCAACTACAGATGTGATTTTGTTAAATTTGATGACGGTATCACAGTGTTGGATTTGATATTGAGAATTAATAACAAAAGTGTAAAAGTCACATCTGTCTATCGACCACCATCATCAAACCCTTATACATTTGTAGAAAATCTTGAAAAATTTTTGTTAGATAACAAAAATGCCATACAGTCACACCACATCATAATAGGAGATATGAATATTAATATACTCCAACATACCAAATTAGTAAACAAATACCTCACTGTAATGCAGAGCAATGGATTCATATCAAATATAAATTTACCAACAAGAGTAGTCAATAATAGTTCCAGTTCTTGCATTGATCATTGTTTCATCAAAAATTTTTCAAATTTCTTTCGGTACATACCGTTAATTGTTGAAAACCATATTACCGATCATTTACCCACTGTAATACTTATATCATCACCAGAAAAAAATAAAAGTAGATCCATCTCCAATAATGAAACAGTGAAATTTAGGTGTTTTGTCGATAATAAAAAACTACTTGCAAATATCAAATTAGAATCGTGGACAGCAGTATACTGTGCAACGAATGTTAATGATGCTGCAAACACACTCATTGAACGCATAAAATATTTAATTGAATGTAGTACAAACAGAGTTAAAATTAAACATTTTGACAGAAGCAGGAATCCCTGGATAACTAAAGGTTTGATAAAGTCTGCCAACAAAAAAGAGGAACTATACAAAATAATGAAAGCATCGCCATGTGCAGATACCTCCCATAAATATAAAGAATATAAAAATATTTTTATCAATCTAGTTAGAGAAGCAAAACGCCAATTCTATCTAAAAAAATTACAAGATGCCAAATCTGATCCAAGAAAACTGTGGTCAGTTGTCGATCACTTAACTAACAAAGACGTTCAAGAAAAACCAAATATTGATGAAATTAAGAATCGTGATGGAACAATATTAACAGATAAACGACAAATATCCGATGCATTCTTAAATTTTTTCACTAATGTTGGAGAAAATTTAGCATCCAGTATTAAAAAAATGGTTTCGAACGAAAAGTTCACAAAAACCCAACTTCCCAATTCATTCTTTTTAGAAAGCGTTAGTCCGATTGAAGTACAAGAAGCTGTCCTATCACTTAAAACCAAAAAAAGTCCTGGTGTAGATGGTATCAAAGCTGAGCATTTAAAAATAATAGCCTACGACTTAGCCGAACCACTTTCTTACGTCATTAATTGGTGTTTCCAATCTGGAATTTGTCCTGATGCATTTAAAACAACTGTTATTACTCCTGTTTATAAAGGCGGTGACAGAATGGAAACATCAAATTATAGACCCATATCAGTACTATCGAATATAGCCAAAATTTTCGAAAAATTACTACAAAAAAGGATATTACAATTTTTGGACAAAAACAAAATTATATGTTCTGACCAATATGGATTTAGAAAAGGAAAATCTACTACAGATGCAATTTTGGCTGCAATGGATGAAATTAACTCTAATGTCAACAAAAAGATACCTACTACTGGTATCTTTGTTGATCTAAAAAATGCCTTTGATACGGTTAACCATGTCGAGCTTCTGAAGGTTATGGAAAGATTGGGATTTAGGGGAGCGTCACAAATCCTTTTAAAAAATTACCTTTCAAGTCGGGCACAGACTGTCAAAATCACTAACACTTACAGTAAAAAAATGTACATCAAGTGTGGTGTGCCTCTATTATTTAGTCTCTACTTAAATGACTTATTCAAAATTAACAGTTCTGGAAAGATTATATGTTTTGCAGATGAAACCCTCGTATTATATAAAGCTGATGACTGGAGCACACTGAAGCAAATAGCTGAAAAGGATCTTATAAGGATCATTGACTGGTTTGATACTAAAATTTTAACTTTAACTTCAAAAAAACAAAATTTATTACATTTACATCCTATTCAAAATTTTTACCTACCTTTGAACAAATTTCCGTTAATTATCATGGCCAAAAGACCAAAATCGATAGAGTTAACACTTTGAAATATCTTGGAATATTTATAGACTCACATCTAAGGTGGGATAACCATATTAAATATGTTATCAAAAAAATTAGAAATGTTGCCTATAAACTCAAAATGCTTGCTAACATTCTTACAGAAAGTTATCTGCGAATCCTGTACCATGCCTTAGTTGAAACCCATATAATATACGGCATCACAGCCTGGGGTGCCGCCTGCAAGACATATATTTCTGACCTGAATATAGCACAAAAAACTGTTTTGAAAGCCATTTTCCATAAGCCAAGATTATATCCAACGAACAACTTATATCAAGATACAGGGATACTTGATACAAGACAACTTTATTTCTTACATGCCACCACCTTATACCATAAGTATTGTAATAAAAAGAAAAAATCCTATAAACACGAGCATAACACACGATTTCGAATAGGCTCATCTAATATCCAAAGACCACACAAAACATTATTCAAAAAATCATTTAAATTCTTAGCAGCTAAATTATATAATGTAGTACCAAACGAAATAAAGATACTTAATTTTGGAAAAAAATTTAGAAGAAAATTGAAAGACTGGGTTAGTAATGTGCAGCGAATGACTATACATAATTATATAGAAAACTAAAACTACAAAATTCCAATTACATTAATACCTTTTAGATTTAACAATAACATATATGATTGATTGTTAGTTATTAAGATATAAACCACACACAGGCGATGCCTTCTGTGGTTTTTCATATTTATTTGCCCATTTTTTGTATTTTGGCGAATAAATATTATTATTATTATTATTATTATTATTATTATTTGCGACCCACGTGCTTGGGTCCAGGTTAAGTAAAATCGGGCCTTAGGGGCTATTATTTCCGTAGAGCAGCGCCGCGCTGTAGAACATTTTTTATAAGAGCTTGTGGCATCACTTTCCTACATTCATCTTCAGAATTTTATTCTGGGATCCCGATACCATCTTGAACAAAGATATCGATGCATCTACTTCATCATCTCAAAGTTCAGATTGACTTTCTTAAAGTTATTTATAAAGAATATTGTCCATAATAAATTATATGGTTAATTGAGTGGTGTATGTGTAATGCTTCTCTTTTCGTTTAAGGTCACACGCGCCAAGGCCTAAAGTGCAGAATCTGCAAGATGAATGTCCACGTGGACTGCCAAGGGAAGGCGTCCAAATGTCAAACGAAGGCCAGACTCTTAAGGCGGCAGAAGTCCACATCTGAAATCGAAACTAGGGTGCCAGAACCCAATGCTGAGGATGAAAGTAAGTTTGGAATGTTTAGTATGCATTTTGTATTTCTTAGTGTGTAACTTTGTTTACATATATGAATGGTTGGTTCAATCAAAAAGAACTCTTAAAGAAAATGTCAGATATATTTTGGCGTAAATCTCAATATTGTTTCTAACAGCTTTTTGGTTGAACTATGTATTGCTAAATATTTATTTCTTCCAGGGAGATCTGCTTCACCGTAACATATTCCATGTTACCAACCAGTAACCTAGATATTTGAACATTTTCCATCCAATGTTTATTTCAGCTTTGAAATTTTATTATAATTCTGGACGAAGTAATCATATATTTCATGATTCCATAACTAAACTCCAAAAGAAACAGAACAGCTATTCTTCATCAATGTGCCTCGACTAAATCTTACAAAGTTACATTTCGTTACTTTGGAGATCAAAATATTGCAAAAGAGTATTTAAATTGACTTATAATTTATAACACTGATTAACTTTTTCCACCTGAGATAGGTAACCAAGTGCTATATGCCCGTGCCCAAAAAATAATCGAAGATAAAATGAGATGCCGTTGGGACATCTATAGAGATTTGTCACAGCCATTTCTCTATTTAGAAATAAAAAATAGATATATAGAAGATATATAGAAAGGGTTAGTGTCTCTGTAGCCACCAACATGCTTGTATATTCTCATATAAACAGCGCCATCTATAAGATACGATACCAACATTTTTTGGACTCGGTAATATAGTATTAAATTGGCTATATTCAGGTAAAATATGTTAACCAGCTAACCAGTGCATATAAATTTATCACAGTCCAAACCCGTTCGAAATAGTCTTCGCTTTTTTTTGGGAATCATTCACGGAACTACTTGGAGTTATTCAGTGGAATGTTATTAGTACATCTATCACTGTTGCCTAGATATTGAGCAAACTGAAAACGATCAGTTTTAGCACCATACCTCAGACAAACAGCCTTCTGCGGTCTTTCTGCTATTAATCCTCCTCATATGAGGCCTGAGCTAACGGGTACGCGACGTTTGAATCATAAAAAAATATTATTATCTACCTATTATCGATTATATACAATAAAACGATATCGATATGCGTACCTAACAAAATAATGCGGTTGAACTGCATGGTAGAATGGAATCTTGATCCTTTTTGAAATCTGTGTTCCATTGAGCTTTTGGTTTCCGTTCTTAAAATATTTTGTTAGAGATCAGTTGTTCATTCACAATCGGAAATAATGTTTACTGGACATATTTGGGAGCAACCAAGTTTTTTGTTTTCGCAAATATAAACTCCTTTTCAAGAAGGTCTTTCCTTGCTTATTTTTTGAACAGATCTATGATTATGATAGTAGTAACTCAGTACTTTATCGCTTATAACCCATCAACTAATCAGCAATATGCCATAGTATGTTAGATCTTGTTCCCTCGGAAGGATCAATATAACATTCTCTTTGGAAAATTGTCGGAATCTGTCATTTTTTCAAATAAATGTCTTGTATTTTATTTCTAATAGTTGTTGATTTGTATTAGCAATTCACCTCTCTTATCCCGCGAATACACCATTTTAAATGATACGATTAGTAAGTTTATATTTCAGGGTTAAAGAGTATCTTACAACCCGTAATTTTTTCAGCTATTATTTTCAGCTTACAGAAGTATACTATCCAGTGATCTGTTATATATACCCAAATTAATAACTTGACTCGTTCAAGGAATAAGTAAGGGGAGTGAGTTTTTGAAAAACAATGCATTCGATTTACGTATCGTCACATTCACCATTTTCTTAATTATAATAAAATACTGATGAGTGATAAAGGATATTATGTCCTCACCAACCAATACAATTCAAATACATGTTAATTATTATATTCTAACTGAAATCTTGGAATAGAGGTTTTAAAAATGTATTATTTTAGCAATAGTATAGATTACTGAATAGTCTGCGCACTCGCCATTTTCGGCATTATTCTACATCCTACAAGATGGCAGATAAACATATCGGGCTGAACACTACATCAGTGCAAAATACCAAGGGAGGCTTTTAGAACACATCATCCTTGTGAATGTTTCAACACAATACAGAAATTCTTAAATCAAAAGCATAAATCTCGTCAAGATTTCACCAAGTTGACAAGGTGATGGGCACTTGGAGCGAGAGAATTTCATAATTTCGATAGAAATTCAATTTGCTTAGGTTTGGTAATCTTATTTTAAAACAAGGGGGAATTGCCTTAATTCAGCGAAGCTGTGTGAATATAGGAATTGCTAATGTTACGAATTATATTAAAATTTAGAGTAATTTTCCAACAGATTGGATATGATGGTCTTAAGAAAATCTACACTTGCGAGCACATTCGATTAATATTAGCCTTGACAGTTTTAATAAATTGCACAGTTTTGCTTCCTATTATATAACTTACATCTCGAGCGAAAAGTTTTCAAAAGAAAGAGGTAACATCAGGAGACCTGGCATTGGCATTTTCCGCAAAGTGTATTCACAGACTTATGGTTCTTACCCGTACGAGTCAATAGCCATGTTACATATCGTTTATAGGAATTTCATTGATTCAGTACATTAGAGTTATTATTTTGCTTATTACAATTCTCGTTCAGTGGTCAGTGGTTTGCCTTTTGCGAATTCGCGTTCAGAAATACCAATTGTACACAATCGATTGTGTCTCTGCGACTGCGAGCGATTCACGCGTAAGTAAAGTGTCATGAATAAGCCCTCAGGTACTGTGTACTCAAAAATCAATAGGTTTACTACATATGTTTGCTATCTGTCAATATGTACATTCGACCTCTATGGCAATAGAGAGCCACAATTAGAGCTACCGCAACAACACTCGTTTTCGTTCGCTACCATTTTTATTTTCATCCTCTCCAGCTTTTGTTTAACAGAAATATACAGGATAACCCACAAGTATGGGCACACCCCAATATCTCGGAAACTAAGGGTGCTAGAAGAAAGACTGTAGATGCAAAGGTTTTAGCAAATCAGATAGCGCCTGTAGTGGTGACGTGTACGAATATTTGACGTTAACATTCACCTTTAAGGTCATTTTAAGGGCCAGTTGATTTTTCCAATTTGGGACCCCCATTTTTTATTGAATAAGTACAAAGCCTACAAAAATTGTTTTTAAGGGTAAGGATATCATTAGGTCTAAAATCACATCTGAAGGTTATTTCAAGGTCAACTCTTTCATGGAATATTGTGGAGCAGCAATACCACATTTGATGATGACCTTCATTGTGACCTGATCTATGACTCTGAAAGTCAATTCAAGGTCAAATTGATTTTTTCACATGAAAAACCCTCATTTTTAAAAAGATATCTTGAACTGATTCTACAAGATACTGATGTAAGACTATTTCCAGTCTGACACGGCAAAACTGGTCAAATTGATTCAAGGTCAGAATGACGCTCACAATCAGATGTGCCGTTGGGTGTCCTGCAATTTTAACATTAAAACTTTCTTATTATTCTTATTCTTCCAGCTATCCACTGTTTCAAAGCATTCCATGAAAGAGTAACAACTGACCTTGAAAAACCCTCTAGATGTAATTTTAGCCCCTATGGTATTTATACCGTTGGAAAGGACATTTGTTCGGCTTCCTATTTTAGTGATAAAAAATTTGAAAAAATCAACTTGCTCTTGAAATGACCTTCAAGGTAAATGTCAACGTCAAATTCAAGTTCACCACTAGATGCGCTATTTGATTTCCTGAAGCTTTAAAAGTTTTTTCCAGCAACTTTAGTTTCCAAGATATTTGGGTGTTTGGTGTCCATACGTTTGGAACACCCTTTATATCAAAGTTTTCCAAACGTAGTTGTAATACATTCGCTGCTTACGTGTTAAGGCCCGCACCATCCGATATTTTTGAAGGCTGAATTCATTCGCAATTTGAGTCAACTACTTACAACAGCATCTCTGATAGTACATATTACTTAAAATACCTAACAATAATTATTATAATATCATGAATACTTGCGAGTTATATCAGACTTGCCTGCTGATGTGCCACTAATTTCCTAGAAGAGCTGGTGTTATAAATTGTTCTAGCATTCAGTCAGATTTAAGCTTTTATGCTGTTAACATCATAATAATATTGTAATAATTTGAGAATAGTACATTTTGAAATTTTGTATTTTCGAGAAATAAACCTTTTTAAAAAGTGATCTCCGTGCATCAGTCTTATTACTCGTGTTAACAGTAACATATTCTACAGTAGAAATCGTTACTTTTAGTTATCTGATTCCATGGTTTTGATTCCCTGAGGGACACCGGCTTTGATGGGCCGTGTTGTCGACAGAACGTTATTAATTTTGATCCAAAATTTCCTACCCTCGAGAAAGGATTTCAAAAGTTTTAGGAGCCAGAAGGGGAAGCCCTTATGGATCAATTTGTAGAGAAGGCCCTTGTGCCACACCTTGTCAAATGCCTTTGAGACATCCAGTAGCAAGATGCCAGTACTTTCGTTACGGGTGAACCCCCTGGTTACTCGTTCAACAAGCCTTATGGCCTGTAGCTCCGTACTATGCTCAGACCGAAAGCCAAATTGCACGTCAGGAATCACATTGTGGTCTGCCGAGAAATTTTAAAGGTGACGTAGAATCACCTTTTCAGCGAGCTTAGAAGGAGCTGACAGTACACTAATGGGGCGGTAATTCTGGGGGAATATCGAACCCACCTTCTTTGGAATTATTATGACATCAGCGGTCTTCCACGCCGTTGGGAAGTGCTGGGTCCTTAGCATGGCATTGATTATTGCCACGAGATAAGTTAAGGACTTCCGCGAAAGTAGCTTCAGCGCCTTATTAGTGATTCGATCCTCTCCAGGTGCTTTACGCACCTTAATATGACCTTGGAGCTCTGCTGGTGTGCAATGCTGAGTCTCAAGAGATTCCGCTGATGTGCTGTGCAGCTCTTCAATTGAGGAATCTTCTGAAGATTCCTCTGAGAAAAAATCACTAAGGGAGGCACTACTGCCACTGACGCCGTTGGCCCTAAAATATCTCCTGACGGATCTTACAATATGTTGCTCCTCGTCGAGGTCATTATCAAGGTCATAGTTGGGAGAGAACCGACTTTTCATTGCATCAGCGAAAACCTCGACCTTTGCCTCTGTCCTACAGAGTAAGCCCCTAGGACCGTTGGTGTGCGGAAGTTGTTCTCGCTTTCCGTTTCTGAGTGACTTTGGAACTTTCCAGAGAGGAATTGAGTCAAGCATCTCCGACAGAAAGTCGCTCCATTGCTCATTACGGAATTCATGAAGAGCGTTTCTCACTTCATGAACAAGATTCGTTGCTCTGTGAATGTCATCTGGGTGACAAGACCTCTTCGCTTGCTTAATTGCAGCTCTTTTGTCAGAAATTTTCT